GAAAAACCTGTGAGTTTAATGTTTGACTTCATTTCACAGATTTAACCTCTGAGATGATTCTCAGATGAACTGAGATCATTTATTAAACTTTATTAACCTCCTGTTTCCACAGCAACACAGAAACAACCAGAGAATGAAAATGAAGAACAAGGACAGCTGATGGAAGAAAGAAAACATGATTTGTCTGGAAAAAGGTCTGAACGAGAGGAGGAGTTATTAAAGATCATTAATAAACACAAAGAACATGAGGAGGAGCTATTAAAGACCACTAATAAAGATAAAGAAAGTTTGGATCACATCTCTGAGGTTTTAAGGGAGATAAAAGAAGAACTGGATGAACATAAAAAACAACTTTATGATGTCAAAATGGAAGAAGAAAAAATAATAGAAGAAAATGAGAGGAAGATTAAAGAAGTGCAGCAGGAAGTTGAAAAGAACAAGAAGGGAGACAAATCAGACAACAGAGCACAAGGATACAATAAACTGAAGGAAATCATGATACAGGATATCTGGAAACGGGAAGAAGTAAAGAAAAAACGTGAACAGCTGGAGATAAACACAGATAAACTCATTCAGAGGATGAAGGAAGAAATGAAGAGGATGGAGGAAAATAAACAGAGAAGAGAGTCAAATAAAGAAACTGAAGAACAGGAGAAAGAAACAAAGGAAAACATTTAAATTGTGTATTTCTAAGATTATCTGGCAGAAAAAAGCATTTTATATTCGTAACTTTACAGATTCTGCCTCAATGTGAGAAAATATTATTTTTATTCACAAAGTGAAACTGATAAAATGACTGATAATTCAGCACAACAGATAAAAAACAATCAGCTCACGATATAAACTGACATTTGCATTATTGTAATAAATTGATAATAATAGTAATACTTCTTTCAAATGTACTAAAATAAGCCTGTGTATCAGTAAAAGTATGCTTTGTTGAACAAAATGTTTGTATTTTACTAAATCAGTTGAGCTAAACATGTATAAACAAACTGTATTTTTCTCCTGTATGATATTAGATTAGATTTTTGAATAGTACATATTTTTCCTTTAATCTCTTAGTAATAGAAGTAGTACAATTCATTGTAAACACCATAAGTTGTTAAATATTGACCACACATTAGTTTCATTTCCAGATGTATTTTGAGTTAAAGTAAATTAAGTGTATTTTATACAGCAGCTGCTTTCTATCCAGCCAGGAAACTGAAAGCTCTTACAGTCTGTGTACTTGTCCACACAGCTCTCTGCTGTCTCTGTTTACATCAGTTATTCTGTAGAGACTAGTCAGTGTTTAAATCACATTCATACACTGATGGGAAACATCAAAAGCAATGGGCGTTCAGTGTTTTGCCCAAAGGCACTTAAAAATGTGACTGAATGTGGTGGAATTGAACTGCTAACCCTCTGATTGGAGGACAACTCCCTATAAAACAATTCTCTGTTTTCTGATATGAAGCAGTGAACTTTTTATTTACCTCATTATTCTGAGAGGTTAAAGATGTATAATCCCAGTCTTATCTCTCTCTCCTGACATTAATTTCTGCAGAGTATTAGCTCCAACATCTACAGGCTCCTTTAGAAAAGGACACGCCATGTCTGACTG